TGGCAGGAGGTGAGAAAGGGGATGGGTGGGGAATGGCAGGAGGGCGGAAAGGGGATGGGTGGGGAATGGCAGGAGGGCGGAAAGGGGATGGGTGGGGAATGGCAGGAGGGCGGAAAGGGGATGGGTTGGGAATGGCAGGACGGCGGAAAGGGGATGGGTGGGGAATGGCAGGGGGGCAGAAAGGGGATGGGTAGGGAATGGCAGGGGAGCGGAAAAGGGAAGGGTGGGGAATGGCAGGGGGGCAGAAAGGGGAAGGGTGGGGAATGGCAGGGGGGCGGAAAGGGGAAGGGTGGGGAATGGCAGGGGGGCGGAAAGGGGAAGGGTGGGGAATGGCAGGGGGGCGGAAAGGGGAAGGGTGGGGAATGGCAGGGGGGCGGAAAGGGGAAGGGTGGGGAATGGCAGGGGGGCGGAAAGGGGAAGGGTGGGGAATGGCAGGGGGGCGGAAAGGGGAAACGGCGGAGAATGGGATCATCATGGAACAGGGAACAAGGGGGTTTCAATGATCTGATAAGGCTTCTGCTGTTCAGGCGCCTTGAGAGCGTAGGACGGGGGATGGAGAGAGGGAATGGTAGGGGATAGGAAAGGGGGATGGCCTCCACCAAACCAGACCAGAGCAGACCAGACAAACAGCCATCCCACACCTGGTCTAGCCATCTGTAGGTCCAGAGCAGAAAAGCAGCCCCACCTGGTCTCCATGTCCAGCCAAACCGTGTCATCCTCTTGCACGTGCCTCCTCATGGCCTCCATCACCCCGTCGCCCCGCGTGCTCAGCTCTTTGGCAAGTGCGCTGATGCTCACATTGGGCCGCCGCAGCACTGTCGACCACACCAGCCTGCCACGAACGTTTTGAAGGGAGGGCAGGGGGAAGGGGAGGGGACAGAAGGGGGGGTATAGGAGGAGATTCAGGAAGGTGCAAGTCAGGAGGAAGGACTGTGAATGCGTGTGGGAAATCTGTCTTGTACATATAATCACTTTCAGCATTGGATGACTGAAATGGCATAGTGGGTGAGTAATCAGCACACGGGGTTCCAATTGCATGACCGCAGTGCAACTTGTTGCTCTGTGAACCTATTGCTACGCAACACGTTACAGATGCACTGCCATGTGATGCACTGCCATGCGATGCACTGCTTTGTGATGCACTGCTATGCGATGCACTGCTATGCGATGCAGTGCCATGCGATGCACTGCTATGTGATGCACTGCCATGCGATGCATTATATGCGATGCACTAGTATGCGACGCATTGCCATGGGATGCACTGCTATGCAATGCACTGCTATGCAATGCACTGCCATGCAATGCAGTGCCATGCAATGAAACCTCTGAAGGACCATCGCTGTGTGACCATTGTCACAGCAGCATAGCAACGATGTATAGGAGTTGCTTTTGAGAGTTCCCAAGAGTATCTCCAATATAGCACAGCAACGTTGTGCTGTGCGCCCTCCACTGCATGGGTGGGATAACCTATATATCTTGGGTCGGACAGTCCAAGTGGCGTTGACGTGGACGAAGGGCTTACAGAAACGGCGAGTGAGGAAGGCAGTCGGCGGTGCGATGATGGCTCGATGGGTGAAAAGACCCAACACGAATGAGATGATGTATGCTATGACCCTGTTGCCTAACCCTGCATGCATCAAATTAGATCAGATCAAATCATATCATATTAGATATGATCAAATCAGACCCAATTGATCAGGTCAGATCAGATCACAATAGAATCAAGGTGATGCAAGTGAGTTTAGGATTTGGGAAGGAGGTCTTATCTAGCGGTGAGGTTGAGGAGAGTGAGGTCTTATCTAGCAGCAAGGTTGAGGAGAGGGAGGTGTTATCTAGTAGTGAAGTGGGGGTTCGTCAATAGACACATAGATTGCAGGCCATGCACGAACTCACTAACAGCATACCCTACCCCTGTCTATAGCACAAATTGAAATGTAGTGACATTGCTTCCTGTCGCGGCCATATCGAGTGATGGTCTCGTTCCTGTGAAGTCGTGAATGATAGGTTGTGAATTTGGGGGAGAAGGGAAGGAACACTTCACAGATGCGCAAAAGGGAAAAGAGGAGGGTTGATGTCATTGTGCATTGAAATTACCTCTATTTACTGATGCACACGATGTGAGCACTGTGAATGTCGAGCGCAGGGAAGTAAATGAAAGGTACACATTAATGCAGTCAAGGATGTTGATGACAGACAGGGGTGTTGATGATGCCCTTATCACACCACATGCCCTTATCGCACCACATGCCCTTATCACACCACATGCTCCTATCCCACCACGTGCCCTTATCGCACCACGTGCCCTTATCGTACCACGTGCCCTTATCGCACCACGGGCCCTTGTCGCACCATGTGCCCTGATCACACCACGTGCCCTTATCGCACCACATGTCCTTATCGCACCACATGCCCTTATCGCACCGCATACCCTTATCGCACCACATGCTCTCATCGCAGCAAGTGTCCTTATCGCACCACATGCCTATATCGCACCACATGCCCTTATAGCACCACGTGCCCTTATCACACCATGTGCCCTCATCATACCACATGGCCTTGTCTTTAAGCCATTACAAACTCTTCAATTCTCGAAACCCCACACACTCCCTCTGCATCGCTTCAAACTCCTCCACTTCATCTCTGAACGCTGCTGACGGAGGGGACTGGTTGGTCTGGATGGGATTAGATCGGGTTGGATAAGATGTTTAGATTTGATATTGAACTGGATCATATCAGATTACAATTGAGTGTAAATGAGTTATCTATGCTCCCAAGTTCATTTCACATCAACAACTGCACCAGACTGCAAATGAATCTCTCTCACGCCATGTGCTATACCCCCTTTTCCCCCTACTATCGTTAGGGTACCATGCTATACATGTCTCCCCCCACTCTCCCCAAGCATGTGCTATAGCCTCCCGCACCATACCCCGGACAAAGGATGTTTCCCCTACACCCTCTATATTACAGATACCGCCCTCACGCCATACCATGTGATACGATACCCCTCCTTTTGTACCATGTGCTCCTCCCTGTTAGAGACTACGGACAGATTCTGGAACGTTTAGGGGCCGAAATATCTCAAAATCGTTGGACTAGAATTCTGGACAGAATTGTCGACTTCACAAGAAACGCCTTCGACGAAAATATAACTGTTAGAATGTTTTTTAACTCGAGATGTTGTAGCCCTTGACAGTGGCTATCTTTCCCAACTTGAATCGTATCAAAAGATGGAGTATAACTCGAGTTATGAATTTCGGCGCACTAGGGGGTATGCTGCCATAGAAACTTAACTTAACCACAATTATCTCACAAGTGCCACAAAGAGAATTAAAGTAACAATAAACCAGGTAGGAGGGAAGAGGAGGACGAGAGGGAAGGTCCCAAGGGAGTCCCCAACCAAGGAAACTCCACAAGCACAAAAGATTCCCTCCCTATAGGAACCCAACTTTCACCCTTGTCATTTTCCCAACCTCCCAAATCCACCTCACCCAACTTGGCCACACTTGCCAACCTGGTTTGGTTTCTCCCAACCACTTGGCATCATCTACAGTGATGGGGACGAATTTCCCAACCCCCAAAAAAATCTATACCCCATATTGAGTCACTCCACAAATTCCCATAGTCGCCGCATCACAATCAAAACTTCGAACGATCATAACTTTCTCGTTCTTGCTCCGATCGCGACGATGAATCATGGTTCGTCGGAAAGCTCTTGAGCAGGGAAGTCATTTCAGATATCTTCTCAATAAAAATATTATTCACACACACACTCACAGAATCCAAACCACACCAAACACAAATTCTTGCATACGCTCACACCACGCATGCAACGCACAAACACATGATGGGAGGCAGACAGACGTGAATGCGAATGATAGCATCACACAACAAACTCCCCCTCTGGCTGCCAACCATCATTCCACATGCCTCAGATCATGCATGCACATTCAATGCACACTCATTCCTGCAAGTTTCATGCCCTTCTAATGCTCGGATTCAGCCAGGCGCTTGGTGAGAATGTCAGCCGCCTGCTGATGGGTCTTCACAATCTCCAGTCGCACCTCCTTGTCCAGGAGCCTCCTCACCCAATGCCACTTGGGCCCGATGTGTTTGGTCAGCCCATGAAGACAAGCATTCTTCGCAAGCTTCACTGCCGACTCATTGTCACAGAATATAAAGCTTAAGGGATTATATTCGGTTACATGCTTGTGAGGTGTAGAGGGGTGTAGCTTGTAGTATTTAGTTTCAGCGAGGGTTGGTTGGGTTCTTGAGGGTGACGTGAAGTTGGTAGTACAGGGAACTGGTGGGTGCAAAGCGGTGGGACTCAGGAAGCCTTGAGAGACAGGAAATCAGAATCAGCCCATCCAGGCTCAGGCGACTCGAGCCCAATTCACTCGCCAAGAAATTGGCAACACGGGTGAAGGTGAATAAAGTAGCCTAGAGTAGCAAACGCAACCTTGTTCTCTCGTTGTTTGCCTCGTATAGTGGATTGAAGTTTCCGTTTCAAGCTAACTCCAGCTAGGTAGCTCTAAGCCACTGTGGGCAGCCATCAAGTGGGAGCGGAAATCTCTCGGTAGTGGCTGAGGATGAAGAAGGGAGCCAGGGGACAGGGACAAGACAGATGCAAGGGCGAGAAGGAGAAAGCAGCAGGTTTTTAAGGACAGGAGCAGGTAACGCAGGAGGGGTTTTCCGACAGACTCATTGTCACAAAACATCACAGTCGGCTCCCTCTGACCAACACCGATCTCCTCCAACAAACGCCTCAGCCACACCACCTCCTTGGCCCCATGATGAAGGGCCATGTACTCTGTCTCACACGAGGACAGCCCCACCTCATTCTGCTTCTTGCTGCGCCAGCTCACTGCACCACCTCCAAACAGGCACACATAGCCTCCAATGCTGGTGCCATCTGCCTTCACAGAGTTGAAGCTAGCATCGGTGTAGCAAGTCAAGAGCATCTCCCCCTTGCTCAAATCAGCTGCACCCCTCTGCAGCTTCTATCTCACAACATTGTACTCCAAACCCACTGATGCTGTAGCGCTCACATAGCGGACCAACCTCTTGGCCGCTTCCAGCTGCTCATGACTGGGGCGTGAAACCACACTGGCAAGCCTGGATGTAGCAAAGGCAATATCAGGCCGCGTGTGGTTAGCCGCATAGTTGAGTGCCCCAACCATGGAATGAAACAGCTTCCTGTCGCTCTCACCCACCACCTCCTCATCAGCACAGGGCCCCATAGTAAACCCTGAAGGCAGTGGGGTTGATGGCTTTCCTCCATCTTGCAGCCCGTACTTCTCGGCCAGCCCCTCACAATACTTCCTCTGGTGCAACCTCAACACTCCCTTGTCAAGGTCCCTCTCCACATGCATCCCCAGATAGTACTTCACATCTCCCATCTTGGAACACTTGAACTGCATCTCCAGCATCTCCTCCATACGTTCAATCATTGCAGATGACTCGGAGAAGAGCAAGATGTCGTCCACATACACCAAGAGCATGAGGAACTGCTCCTTCTCTTGCAGCAGGAACAAGCTGTGATCACACTCGCTCTTCTCAAATCCCCTAGCCAGCAGTGTCTCCTCCAGCTTGTGGTACCATGCACGAGGAGCCTGCTTCAGGCCATAGATGGCCTTCTTCAGCTTGCACACCCTGCCGCTCCCATCATCCAACCCCTCAGGCTGCAGCATGTACAGCTCCTCCAGAATGATCCCATTGAGGAAGGCAGTGGTGATGTCCATCTGCTTGATCCTCCATCCGCGGTTTGCAGCCATTGTCAATGTCACCCGCAGTGTTGTGCCTTTCCCCATAGGAGCAAAGATCTCGTCAAAATCCTTCCCCTTTGTCTGCTGAAACCCCTTAGCCACAAGCCTTGACTTGTAGCGGGTCAGCTCCCCATCAGGTCCGTACTTATGCCTGAAGATCAACTTGAAAGAAATGGCCTTCTTCCTAGGAGGCAGCTCACACAACTCCCACGTCTCGTTCTCCAGTAGAGAGTCATACTCCTCCTTCACACGCTGCTTTCATTTTTCGGCATCAAGCCCACTCAACGCCTTGGTAAGCGTCTTGGGCTCAGGGACGGCTGCCCAGTAGCAGTGCGCAATCTCATCCTCATCACACTGCTCAGCCACACTCCCAGCCCTTACCACCTTTGGCTTGCCAAAATTCGGATAGGTCAGCCGGTTAGGAGGGCGCACATCCCTCCTAGGACGGTCAGCCGGACGTGCGGCACCTTGTGGAGCACCTTGCTGCTGCTGCTGCTGCTGCTGCTGCTGGTGCTGCTGCTGCTCCACCTCGGCTTCTCCCCCATCCTCAGTCACCCCAGAGATCTCCTCCTCTGAAACTGTAACCTCCATTTGCCTCGAAGGCCGCTGCACCTCATCGGCCTCAACGATCAGCGGTGTAGTTGGAAGCTTCTGCTGCTGCTGCTTCCACTCCTTGTAGTACAAGGACTCAAGGAACTTCACATCCCTCGACACAGTCAGCTGCTGGCTGGTCAAGTCCCATAGCAACCAGCCCTTGTGGTCCTTTGAGATCCCCAAATGCACACCCCATCTCCCAGAAGCTTCCAACTTTCCCCTCTTCTCCTTCGGCACGTGAAAAACCACCATGCACCCGTAGGCTCTCAGCATGTTGACTGCAGGTGCACTCCCATACCACTTGGTGTAGGGGACCCACTGCTTGTCCCCCACAGTCGCCAACACTCTGTTCTTCACAAGAGCAACCTGCCCCACTGCAGTCACCCAAAACAGATCCGGCAGCCATGCGCGCCCAAGGAGAGTGCGAGCACCTTCTTGCAGGGTCCGGTTGAACCACCCAGCCACGCCGTTCTGCTGAGGGTTGTAGGGCACTGTGAGCTGATGCTGAATGCCCTTCTTCTTCAGCACCGCCTCAAACTCATTGCCAATGAACTCTCCCCCGTTGTCGGTGCGGATCACCTTCACCTTGTGTCCGCTCTCCCTTTGAGCTCTCGGCATCCACTCCTTAAGAACAGCCGCTGCCACCTCCCCCTTAGTCTTCAGAGGGTACACCCACACCGCACGCGTGTGGTCGTCCACAATGGTCAAGAAATAGCGGCTGCCCGAGAGAGAAGGGGCCCTCGTGGGGCCCACCACATCCATATGCACAAGTGCGAGTGGTACCTTGGCTGGTCCGGTGCTGCCGCTGAAGGGAAACTTCGTAAACTTTGTTTCAAGGCATGTAGGGCAGCTCCCAATCTCCTTCGCTGCCCCCTTCACCTCCAATCCCTTCAAGCTCCCATCCTTCACTAACTTCTGCAGCATAGGAATGTTGATGTGACACAGCCTCTCGTGCCACGTCTCCCAATCGGCCTCACCACTCCCAGGTGAAGCCTTCGCCCATGCAGCTGTCGCATCCACACCAGCAAGCACCTCACCATGTGGCTGCTGTGGCTGCTGCACCTTCTTGACTGCATCCAGGGCCCCATCAGTTGGTGCAGTCTCCTCTCCTCCCGCAGTTGCCTTAGCCGTTGCTGGTGCCGCTGCCGTTGCTGGAGGTTTCCCGTTCCAAGGGATGATGGGCAGCTGCCACAGGTCCTTGATGCAGCTGCTCTTCTCCTCCAAATCCCACAGCAGCAACTTCCCAAGCTTTGCACGGCAGCTGGTTGGGCCAATGGTCACCTTGGCCTTGCTCTTCTGCAGCCGTCGCACAGAGAGGAGGTTAGCGGACAAACCTTCAACCAACAACACATTCCCAAGCCCCACAAGCTTCCCATTAGCTCCCATCACCTTGGCATTCCCAACACCAATCACAGGGAGCAAAGCACCTGAAGTGGCAGCCACAAACTTGATCTTCCCGGGGGGCTTTACCTCGTCAAGAAAATCTGCCCGTGGGGTCATGTGACTTGTGCAACCTGAATCAATCACCCAGTGAGTGAGGGGGTGCATCACAACCTTCCCAACTGAACCCACATCACCCTCACTCCCATTCACATCCTCAACCATAAGAAACATCCCAGGGTCTGCTTTACCCCGTGCACCTTCACCTTGTGCACTTGAACCTTGTACGGCGTCACCTTGTGCACGTTCACCACTTGGCGGCTTCATGCCTGGAGGCGCCCATCCCTCAGGCCGGCTGAAACACTTGAACCATGGGTGTCCAGCCTTCTTGCAGTACCAACATGCACCCTCCATTCGGGTGCTCCCCCTGCCACCAGAGCTCCCATGCCCCTCATTGTAGTCACCCCAGCCTCTCCCTCTGCCAAAGCCTCTCCCACGGCCTCGGCCTCTCCCACCCCCTCTTCCTCTGCTGCCTCCTGCAGCTCCATACCCCTCAGCAGTTTTGTTGGCAGCACCACCATCCGTGTGGAGCCTGCGGAAGTCCTCCTGCAGGATCTGCTGCCGTAGCCACTCAGGCGTCCACTTGTCCTGCTGAGCGTTGAGGGTGGGGATGAGGTTGTCCCACGAGTTGTCGAGCACCGAGATGATCTTGGTGCACTGCTGCATCTCCGACACCTTGCTGCCCGCCGCTGCCATCCTCGCATAGGTGTCCTTGATCTTTTGAAAGACCGGCTTCACATCATCTCCCGGTCGCATGGAGAGGGCAGCCAGCTCCTTCTCCAACACAATCACCATAGACAGCGTGTTGGGTTGAATCACGTCGCGCAGTAGCTTCGACGCTTTAGGGCCGGAGTCGTCCAACTCGACCAAGTCCTTGATGTGCTGGAACATGTCGTTGTTGACCGATTGCAAGATGAGGTCGAACAACACCGCGCTCCGCTCAATCCACCGATCCCGAGCATCTCCTTCCTCGGGCATTTTCTCTTCTCCCATCGCAAGTTTCAGCAGCTTGTAGCGCTTGAAGACGCTCCTCATCCGCCCACTCCATTCCTCGTAGTTGGAGCCATCCAACGCCTCAATCTTGGATGGTGGCGGCTCACTCCTCTTTTCAGCTGCATCTCCACTCCCTTGACTCATCTCCTCTGCTCCCAATCAGAGGTTTCAGCTCCCCCTTTGCTGGTCACAATGTAGATCCACAAAATCTTCACAAGTGTCAGCGCCAACGAAATTTCGGCAGAGTTTCCCCTTAGCGGAAGTCACATCCAACCTTCAGAACACCACTTAGGCACGCCCACAGGCCATGGTGGGTCTAGAAGGGTCTTCACACCTCAGTAGACTCCCCACAAAGTCCTCAATCAGCTCTGATACCACTTGTTAGAGACTAAGGACGGAGTCAGGAACGTTTAGGGGCCGAAATATCTCAAAATCGTTGGACTAGAATTCTGGACAGAATTGTCGACTTCACAAGAAACGTCGTCGACGAAAATATAACTGTTAGAATGTTCTCCAACTCGAGTATGTTGTAGCCGTTGACCGTGGATATTGTAAAACTCGATTCCAATTTGAATCGTATCAAAAGGTGGCGGTAAACTCGAGTTATGAATTTCCCCAAATCGAGATATATATATATCCCACTAGGGGGTATGCTGCCAAAGAAACTTCATTTATCTCACAAGTGCCACAAAGAGAATTAAACCAGAGGGAAGAGGAGGACGAGAGGGAAGGTCCCAAGGGAGTCCCCAACCAAGGAAACCCCATAAGCACAAAATATTCCCTCCCTAAAGAAACCCAACTTTCACCCTTGTCATTTTCCCAACCTCCCAAATCCACTTCACCCAATTTGGCCATACTTGCCAACCTGGTTTGGTTTCTCCCAACCACTTGGCATCATCTACAGTGATGGGGACGAATTTCCCAACCCCCAAAAAAGTTTATACCCCATATTGAGTCACTCCACAAATTCCCATAGTCGCCGCATCACAATCAAAACTTCGAACGATCATAACTTTCTCGTTCTTGCTCCGATCGCGACGATTCTTGGTTCGTCGGAAGCAGGGAAGTTATTTTAGATATTTGCTCGAGCAAAATATCATTCACGCACACACAGAGAATCCAAACCATGCCGAACACAAATTCTTGCACACGCTCACACCACGCATGCAACGCACAAACATATGATGGGAGGCAGACAGACGTGAATGCGAATGATAGCATCACACAACACTCCCCAACTTCTTTCCTTATACAATGTGCTACAAATCTGGCCTTCCACCCACCCCACCTACAGCCTCTTACACCATACGGTGTGCTATAGATGCCTGCCTCACGCCATACCGTGTGGTACAAGTGTCGCTCATTGTGGCTCCAGCACGAGACATCAGTGCGTTGCTGCATCTGGTGCCACATAGCAATTGCATCAAATCTGGTCGGCGAATCCGGCAGCTCAAACACCTGCCTACCAGCGCTGCCATTGCCCGTCAAACCCTTCCCACTGGCACAATCGTTGCTCTGACGGCTGTCAGAGTGAGTGGCTGCAGCAGGGCTCTCACCGTTAGGTCCCAGGGATGAGAGGGTCCCTGATGAGAGCACCGTCTGTAGCAGAGACGGCTGGGATTGAAAACACAAAGGGGGGAAAGAGGGGGGGCGTGGGGAGGGGGAGAGGCGGAAGGGGGTGGCGGCGAGGGAAAGGGAGGGGAGAGGGGGAAGACAAGTAGGGGGGTGGGGAAGGAGTGAGTTGAGAGGCATGTAGCCACTAACTACTTCTACGAAATAAGCTCGTTCTGGGAGGGGGTGTATGGTGTTGGAGGGACCATCGTTTGTTGTGCTGTGTTGATTGCTCCTTTCATTCAAGCTCGCCTCGCTGGACGTTGATGTAACGCCTGTGGGGCTTACACGTAAGGGTTGAGTGCCTCCGCTGCGCCTCAAATATAACCCTCGTTTTGACCCAGTGGGTAGCGAGGTGTTACATTTGGTATCAGAGCATGGGGTTCGATTCCCAGCTGGGTCACATT